ACCCACAAAATTTTAGCCCCCCACCTGGGGGGGGGGAAATGGGGCCGAACCCCCAAAGAAGGAACCTTTCCCCCCAACTCCCTCCCCCCTCCCAAGGGGCATTTGCCTTTTTCCAAAAAGTCCCAATCCCCGAAAAACTTTCCCCCCTCCATGCAGGGGGAAAAAGGGGGCTGTTTTTTTTCTTTTTTCCAAACTTTTGGGGTTTTACCAGAGCCCCCCGCCCCTTGGGGCCCCTTTTGGGACCCCTTGAAAAGGTGGCCCCCCTAACAACATTTTTCCCGGGGTTTCCCGTTTTTCCGGAAAATTTTTTCCGGGCTCCTTTTTTTTTGGGGGGAAAAAAGCTTGGGGCCCCCCCTTTGGAAATTCCCCGAACCTCCCCCCTTTTTTCAAAAGGGCAAGGGGTCCCCGGGGGTTCCTTTGAACCCCCCAGTTGCCCCCCCCCCCCCCCCCCCACCTCCGCGCGCCTCCTCACGAAATAGTGACACAGATATGTAGCACAGAGAACGTGCTAACATTCACTGCTGTGCCTCGAACAAGTACAACTAACAAATATTCGTGGTGCCCGGTCTGCAGTGCACAAGACTAACGACAGATGGACTCTATACAGCACGAGCGTGTTTTTTTTTCTCGACACGACGCGAGAACGGGGCGGATTGTACAAAAAGAGAAAGCAAAACAACCGCAGCAAACTTGTTTCCTTCTCACGAAAACTCTGCACAAAAGCCCCATTAATACCACACGACCACGTCCCACTAAACCAGCACACAAAGCAAAGTGTATGGTGCCCGTACAGCAGTATCACCAAACAGACAACCCAACCAACGTATTACGTTTGCTTATAACTTCCTATTTAGTACAGCACTCAAACGACGAAATAGTGCAATAATCTCACCCCAACACCTCCCGGTCATCCGCTACAATCGTGCTCGACTCCAAAGCTGCATGGCTGAGATGTACACTCTTCTTTCTGATCTATTTCGCCGGAAAAGGTCTCCCGCTGTACAACAATTCGTCCAAACGTCCAAATGCATGATGCCGCAGACGACATCAGTCCCCTCCCGTCACCCACCCCAGAAAACAACGCCTCTTTCTCGTGTGACAAACACACACCTTTCGCACTAAAACAAAACTGCAACAAAAATCCGCTGCTCCCGGCGATGAAAGTGGGTGTACAGGAGTTGCCAAGGATAATTCTAGGCGCAGTAGCGCCCAAGCCATCACATGGTCCAAGACCAAACGCACCGAAATCGCACAGCAGGCTAAGGCTCGACTGCTTCCTAGGCACAAAACAAACCAAGATTTGAGAAAGAACCGGCACACAAAGGAAATACAAAGTTCAAGTCTTCTTACCTAGTAAGCAACAAAAAACTCCACAAAAAAGAGGGGGGGGGTGAGGGGCCAGAGATGAATTTCAGAAACCTCAACGCCTGCCGAGGCCAACTCCCTCTTTTCACACACACAGACAAGTACATATGTGAAGTAGTACATATATCAATACACAAACAAACGCGAGACACGTGCAAACCTCAACACTAGAACCGTTTCCTGGAAAAACAAAATCCTCATCGCCATCACCGTCATCCTTTAAACGCGTTTCACCGGCTTTCCGGGGTCTTCCTTCCTTCATGATACCAGAATACCGTGTCGATAGAAGAACGCGAACACGCCGCAGAAGGCCACGGTGCAAGCACACACTGTCCCAATAGCAACGACCTCGAAGAGGATGTTGTTGGAGTCTAGCCCGCTCTTGAGGTTCATGCCTGTGTTGAGGTATGTTCATGGCAACGGAGAGGTTGGACGGAAGACAAGACCGGGGGGACAGATACTTAAAAAATACAGGTGACGCGACGGGTTTTGCCGAAATGACGGCGCAGGACGATGACAAAGACTTAACGAAAAAAAACTACCCGCAACAAAAAAAGAACAATATAACTACCCGCAATATATAAAAAAAAAAGAAAATCACGCACGCTTGATACACGGCGGTGAATTAGCCGGTCGCTGCTTCGTCCCGGACTGTCATCCACGGATAGAGGTTGGGTGCGTCTTATTCGCGTCGCAAACAAAAAAGAAAAAAGGCACGGCCTGAGTTTGAACGAAATACCGATTTTCAGGCCGGAATAGAACCAATCGAGCGGAGGAGAGCCGTCCACTCTGGTGAGTTGTCTCCCGGAAAGCTAGCTTACCGAAAATTCCGGAGACGAGAGCGCCGACGGTCAGGCAGGTGGAGGCCATGCTGAACACCAGCCCCGCCGTGAGGATCCTGTTTCTGGCGATGTCGAGCTTCACCATCACCAGGGCCTCCGTGCTGCGCGCTCTGTTTAGGAGCAGCTCCAGAACGTTGTAGATCGAGTTGATATCCTGGGAAGAAGGAAAAGGTTGAAATATGATTTCGGACAACGTGTTTGGGGAGAGTACTGATCTACGGGTCTGCCGGTGGGTTACGTGGATGGTACAATGGCTACGATGCGCGGGGCCCCTCTTGTCTCCCTCATATCTGGCACTCGTCAAAATGATGCAGCTTCTTTCTCTTTCGGTCTCTGACGAAGCTGGTGCTGCACCCAAACACAAGGCCATCTTAGGGATAGGGCTAGGGGAAGGGCTAGTCCCACATAGCCAGGAGCAGCAGCGCGTAAGCACTCACGGGCGGGCAGGCATGGAAAGCGCACGGTGCCTGCCACAGGCGTGAACTTTTTGGGTGCGTTGTGTACGGAAGCCTTTGCGGGGAGGGGGGCACGCGGCTGGGTGTTCCCACCTGGAGGTACGCCTCGAGAAGGAGTTCCATCTCTTCGTGGTCCTCGAGCACCTCGGCCGAGAGAGGCGGGAGGTAGTCCTCGGGGCTCTGGTACATCCTGGTGAGGTTCATCATGGCCAAGTCCGTGTCGTCTTCGAGCACCTGTTTGTTTTCAAGGTTGTCGTGGGGCCGATCGGGGGGGGGACTGCGATCGATATATAGTGTCGTCGTGTCACACGCAGGGGTGGTACTAGGGATCACGCCCGAGCCCACATTGTCGGTAGGAAAAGAGGCCTCGGCCGCCACACCCGCGGTAGCAGCAACGGCGGGGCCCCCGCTACCCCGCTCACCATGAGCAGCGCTCGTCGCCTCGCCTTAGCCCTGTTCTCCAGCACGTTGATGCTGTTCAGCAGGACGCGGAAGGTATCGTTGTTCTTGGCGGAGGTGGCGCCCTTGCCCGGCCCCTCCAGTATGTTCACGATGTTCGCGATAGGCTTCTCCACCTCTCGGACTTCTCTCTCCTGCGAGGCGGCGGAATCAGAGGCAGTGGAACCAGAGGCGGCCGCGTCGGCAGCGGGCGGTTCCGGCCGACGGCGATGGCACGGACACGACCAATTACCCCGCATTTTAATTTCCAGGACACGAAGGCTGACGACAGTTACAGTTACGAGACTACCCGCCGCTCTGTGCCGAGCGCTTCGGGGTGCGGGTTACGCCGCACGACTTTCCGATCCCGCCGAAGAGGCCGGGTAACGTTCGCCCAATGGTCGCACGATTCGGTGATCACCCGCTCACCCACTTCTTCTGTCCTTTTCGGGCAGAAACTCCGTCTCGGGCGGAGTCGGTTCTTACCAACGTTCAATTTCAGCCGCGAGTCCCAACAGTCACCCGTTTCCGTGTGCGATTAAATTGTTCCGGCGATTGCTGAGCGGCTACGGCTTCTAGGCTACGTGGACTTGGAATCCCAGGGGGGGGGGTACGCAGACAGTTTGAGTTCGGGTAGGCCCACGTCTAGGATTCGGTGGCGTGATTTGCGCTTGGTTCTTCTCTCTCTATATATACAGCATATTGCAAGTAGATCTCGCAGCATGGGAAAAAAGAAAGAGCACTATACCAAGTATACAGGCAAGGCACATTTTCTCGACGAGGTGTTGCACAAGTAGTTAAGTCTCTCTGTCATTGCAACGTAGATTTTCCAAGACGAAACAAAACCACACACGAACTCAAGGCCACCGACGGGTTCCCAGAGCGTTCTTCTCACCAGGCGTTTCGACGAGACGGACAGCAGCGCCTCGACGGCCTTGAGCTCGAACTCGTAAACGTCGTCGTGGCTCTGCGAAACCGCTTTTCTGACCTCCATCAGGATGCTGTCCGCGCCAGGGTCAACCACTAGCAATATTCTGCCCGACAAGAGACGAGGCGCCACCGAGAGCCACGAAGATTCCGTTTCAAGAAAAAAAAATGTCCCTAGTGTGTCGGATAAACACCTAGATCTGCTGCATTTTTTTACTTTTTTCTACGCTTACTTTTCGGGGTGGTACACTACATGCATGCTCAAAACAGCGCAACACTACAATGTAGGTACTATATGCGCGCAGTTTTGGTCGATTTCTGCTCGTCCTTGCCCGCGATTTTCACCCCTTAACGATCGGTTTGTTCTTGTTTTTCTTCGGTTTTGTGCTCGGCGTACGCACGTGCTCGTCGGGAGTCTATTTATCCTAGTACGGGATAAACCGCTTGGCACTAACGCCCCAAAAGAAAGCCCATTCACGACCGGTGTCCTCTCGCTACCTCGCAACGAGCACTCCAAGTCGGACGTGCTCTCGACTACTACACGCGACACCTCTCCCTCAAGAACGTGGGAGCTAGGCTCAAACAAACAGAACCATAAAAACTAAAACCTGGCCATGGGAACAGGAGATGAGCTAAGAATCCCACACTAAACTCAATATGATCGCTGTTGGGCAACCCCACAGACACCGAAAGAAACGAGCATGGCGCAAGATAAGAGGCGCTCAAGCGGCGGCATGCACTCTCCCTATCCTGTGCGGATGACATTTTCTCCTCTGCAGTCCGTGTTGAGAAAGGACGAACGCTATTCGCATGTACCAAGACGATCGTTGCGCTTACAGCCCTCGCCTCCTACGTCCGGATTTTTTCTCGCCCTAGAGGAGGTGACATGGGAGGAACCACGCCCAAAGAAAACACCATGCCTTCCCCCCCCCGGACCCCATCTGCGATTCTCACATCACCTGTCAACGAGAACGATCCCCCTTAGCGTCTCGAAGTTCACGAGCACGCAGTTACGCCGCACGCTGATGGCCGGCTCGCTCTTGGACTGTGAGCTGAAGAGTTGTCGCATGTCGCGCAAGTGGAGATTGAGGCTCGACATCTGGACACCTGCCGCGCGTGGTTGTTGTTGTTGTTATTGTTGTTGAGGCTATTGCTGTCGTCATCGTTGTTATTGTTGTTATTGTTGTTGTTGTTGTTGTTGTTGAGGCTATTGCTGTCGTCATCGTTGTTATTGTTTGTTGTTGTTGTTGTCGCTGTTATTAATGCTCATATTTTCGTTGTCGGCGTCTTGACCACCGTATATGACACAAGATAATACACCCCCTGGGCCGATTTTCAAAGCCGATTACTCCACGACGAAGGGGACGCGAAAAAACGAAACAATGCGTTTTCGGAGAGCTCTCGACCAGACGGTTTCAACGCCGCCGTTTTCGGCGCTACAACTCGTTCTGCTCTTGATAAATCGAGCTTTGAAAATCGGTCCAGGGTGTGTGTTACCTTGTGTCATATACGGTATGTCGAAACGAACCGTTCCTCTGTCCATTACCCGTCCTCGTACAATGCTGCAACCCAACCGGGAGATCGAATTGTCTTGCAGACACCGACAACAACCCAACATCACGTTAAAATGTGCGCAGAAAAAAACAGAACAATCGAGCTAACGCGACGCCCGGTCTCCTCCGTCTCCCTCACCAGCGACCGACGCCGTCCGCCGCATGCGCCCGCTCCCACTACTGTCCCCCACGCTACCGTACCCTCTGCTGTCCGCCGCGTCTCGAGGGTTTCTAGACGGCGTAGATCTAGTCGACAAGGGCGTCGATGTTTGTCGCCGCTGCTGCTGCTGGACGAAGTTTGCGGCATCCCCCCTGGGCGAGGCACCCAAACCCAAAGCGTACGGGGCCACGATCTCTGCGCGGAGCGTGAGCGAAGATGTCGAGGAAAAGATGAGGTCAAATCCGTTCGTGTGCAGACGGTAGTATGGGTTGTTGTTGTTGTTGTTGGTGGTGGTGGTGGTGCGGCAAGGACACAAGAAGGGGACATATGGGCAAGAGGGCAAACCATCGCAGAGATAGGAGCAGCACGCGCTCATGCAGTTGGAGGCGTCAGGAAACCAAGCCACGCGCAAAGAAACAAGCCCGGCATGTGCATAAAGAGAGAAAAAAAAAGCGTGGCGTGCGTATGCGTCCGTTGCTTTGTCAAGCATCGACCGCGCGAACTGGCTGCCCGACGACGACAAAACGTTGGTATTTGCGGATCAAAAATTGGCCCAAAATTACTTGTCTAATGTGTGGAAAATCACCACGAACAGCAAGAACTGGTGCGTCTCTCGACTTGATTTGAGCGAGAAACAAGAAAACGTGAGCGTACAGCAGACCAAAACCAATACTTTCGATCAGCGACACGTCCGAAAGCCTCGGCACAGCAGTGGATACTGTTATACGGGGTGCGGTGCCTTGAAGGGAACGGGATCGCAGCGCTGTCTCACATGCTGAACCCAGCTGCAAACTCGCAAAGGGAGGGCGGCAACAGCAAGGACATGGAGGTGGAAATACGGAACGGTAAACCCACAACGATAACGCCTCCTTGCATGAAACAACCCACACCATAGTCGGGGGACGCAGGGCGTGTCGATTAGCCTTTGCGTCACTTTTACCAAAAAGGTCACCCACCGCTCTCGAGACAAAGCACCGCTGCCCCTAGAATACTCATCGTCGAAACACTCCAACATTCAGGGCACTCATTCTTCAACGCTCATGCCACGATGTACGACGCAGGAAACTCTAGGCCTATCGTGCCGCCGAGACTACCATCCTAACCCGTTGTTCGGGCCGTTGCTGTTGATCACTACCCCTGGGAAGAACAATCTAGCTTCTGTTTCGGTGGTCATTTCGCGTCACACCGCTAACGAACTGTTGTGCTGCAGGGGAGCTAACAATAAGCAACTAGTTAAGCCAAACCCGAAACGTCATCCTATCCTGCAAAGCGCGTTTTGGATTCTTCACGTGGCGTTTCTCGAAAATCTTGTCGATACAGCAGTGACGTCACCGCCCGAGGCTGCACCGCTATTTTGACGCCTTCGTTCCTCGTGGCAAGGAGTCCGGGTATCAAACACTACTGCCACGTTGTTGTTGCTGTCTTGACACTAAAAACTGTCCCGGTCGCTGCACAGTTCATACCTTCTAACATCTGTAGAGGTCCACCTGACGCGGACACCTTCTGTGGTAACTACCCCAAAAAGGGTATATACTTCTGTGGACGCCTTCCGCGGTCACAGGCCGACCACCCCCAAAAAGGGTACGTACTTGTAGCATTCAAAACGGAAACACAAATGGAACCAGAAAAGTCCTCAATAACACGATAGAAGATCACAAAACCGTGTGCGCCCCACAAGGAAAGCCACGAAAAAAACAAGAAAACGACCCGAACTGACCTTGAACGTAGTTAAACACCTCCCTGATGGACATCTCCTTCATCTCGTACGTCCCATCCTCCCTCAGCTCGTAGAGCATGTCCCTGTGCCCCTGCTTTTGAAGCCTCCTCCTGAACAGCGCGTCGCGCTGCCCCCCTTTCCTCGTGGAGCGCCTTCGCGCGGGATAATCCTCGGTAACCGTTACGTCCTCCTCCGGTGCGAGAACGCCGCTAGCTGGTGAGGCATACCCTGACTCCGGCTGCAAGAACGGCGGGTTTGCTTGTTGCCCCCCGGATATGGAGTCTTGGCGGGTGCGGCGGGACTTCGACGGGATCGGGGAAGTCGGCGGCGTGCCTTGGAGGGGATCCGGGGGCAGGGAGGGAGGGAGGGGAGAGGGGGGGGGGGGGGGGACTACCCTTTTTTTTTTCGACTCCGCCTTTCTTTCCCGCTGAACCCAGATTGCCGAAAAGAGGCACAACTTCTCCGCATACCTCCAAAGTGGCAGTTGACTCCCTCCCTCCCAATCTGCACTAAGTTGATAAAGAAATCTTCTCCCCTGTCTTTATAGCAATTATAAAACCTCCAAATCACGCTT